ATTTATGACGTTAACATGTTTGACCCAAATTTTGAACTATTGGTCTTTGCCAAATAATAAAATAATTTCATTTTGGTAAGTTCTAAATTATGTTTACATTTTCAATAAAAATAATTCTTGTTTATTACACTGTCATAAATGTGTAATTTTTTTCTACATTTTTTGTAAGTTTCTATATTTATTTCTATTTTAAAAATTTTATTATCTAACTATGACTTCATAGGTTGGTCAATTTGATTTGGATGGTTGAATTGCTTAGCCACCATTTGGATTAAAAATGGTTTTGTTTTTTAGTCAGTTTTAAAATATATGGATTTATATTATTAAAATTATTAACATAAATCTAATTTAATAAGATAAAATGAGAGTTAATAATTTAAGTATAAGACTTAGGTGGCATTCAGTAATGTGTTCATCTCATGGATGGACTATTTCAGTTCATGGGATGGAATGAATGCCCTATTCGGTTGGTTGTGGACAAAACCAGTCCACACTATATATATCATGGATCATACCCGTCCACAGTCCAAAATCTCGGTCACACATAAATCTTGTAGATGTGGTCAGTCCATAGCATTTTCACACTCTATTTTGATACAATACATCTCTTCTACATACTTTTCTTTCTTTTAATTTTTATTTTTTAACATTTTATCAATAAAACGGTATTTTTAATTTTAATTTTAGCACAAGCCTAGCGGTGCTCATTCTCCACTCTTTTTATTTATTTAAATATTAGTTTTTTATGTTTTTATCAATAAAATAATTTTTTTAATTATTTTACTATCGTTTTTATTAAAATTAATATTTATTGGTTAATATTAATTTATCAATGCCATTTTTCAATATATTTATCATATAAAATGCAAAAATTAGACATTTATGATTGACTGTGTAGATCATTCATAAAATGCATATGAGATACCTTGAACCAAAAAGTGTGATGATGACGCCTAACACTGTGGGTGTGGACTGGTCCAGTCTACATAGTCTATCCACAGTTTAAAACAGTTGTGGATTATGGTATGGTGTGGATTGGTCCCTGCCATAAAGTGTGGTGTGGACCAGTCCACTCCCACCAATTTCTCATCCACACTACGGAACACCCCCTTAATGAGAGGAGGATTAAATGAGGTGAAAAGTAATAATTGAAGTTACATTTTCAACACTTACTATTAGAGATATACTAAATACACAATCATGGGCATTTTAATAGCCATTAAAGTTGAAATAAAATGACTTTTATACCCTTTCTTAAATAAAGAAACTGAGGGTAATTTTAGTAAAAAAAATTTAGTAGTGTAAATATAGAATTATAAATGTCTTTATTTTTTTTCTATATTTGTTTTATATTTATGTGTAAAAATAATTTCGGTATGTCACACTTACTTTTTGTTTAATATGATAATTAGTTAATATTATACATCTTCCTATTTTTTTTGCAAAATTTATGTATTTTTATATTTTATTAATTTTTATTATTTATATATGACATTAAATGTTAATACATTCGACCTAAAATTTGAACCATTGAACTATACCAAATAGTAAAATAATTTCAATTTGGTCGGTTCTAAAGTATGTATTTCATTTTCATTATCAATAATAATAATTCTTTTTATTACACTTACTTTTTTAATTTGATTAATAAGAGTATCATAAATGTGTCTAATTTTTCTACATTTTTGTAATTTTCTATATTTATTTCTATTTAAAAAAATTTATTACCTAACTATAACTTCATAGGTTTATCAATTTGATTTGAATGGTTGAATTGCCTTAGCCATCACTTGGGTAAAGAATGTTTTTGTTTTTTAGCCACTTTTAAAATATATGAGTTTATATTGTTATTATTATGTTGTCTTTTAGCCACTTATTATTATTATTATTATTATTAGTAGTAGTAGTAGTAGTAGTAGTAGTACTATTACTATTACACTACTAATTTTGTTTCTATTTTTTTCTTAAATAAGAATAATTTTTATTTTAGCAATTATTTTTATTTAATATGATGATTATATAATAGTGGAAATGCTTCAAAATGTCTTTAACAAAACTCTGTACTTTTTTTTTTATTTTTTGTGTTCAACCTTTTTTAAATATTTATTATTCAATTATAACATCATGAATTTCTTTGAAAAGCCGGACCATTGACCCATCATTTAGATAAGAAAATAGCTTTGCTTTCGGATCAGTTTTAAATTATATATTTCATATACATTATATAAATGGTTTTTACTTACCACACTTAATTTTTGTTTGACATAATTAATATATAATTTTTTATATATATTTTTAATTAGTTGTACTTTTTTATTACTTTTTAAATATTTATTATTTAACTATCATATCATCGATTAATCCATTTTACCTAAACCACTAACCCACGGCCTAAAAAACAAAGTTAGATTTCTAGGTTGACATTAAATTTTGCATTACATTTCCATTATTGATAAAATTATATCTTATATATAATATTTATTTTTGTTCAATTTAATGAATGTATAATATTGTACATGTACCCAATATTTTATAATTTTATAAATATATAACATTATATCTTATGTATAACATTTACGTTTTGTGACTCTTTGTATTTTTTATTTTTAAAAATTTTATTATTTGACTATGACATCATTTCATTTCTAGGTTGATTTTAATCTTGGCATTCCATTTTCATCTTTTATAAAAATGCTTCTTACATTTCATACTTATTTTTTGTTCAATATAATGAATATACAATATTAGTGACGTGCCCAATTCTTTTTATTTTTTGTATTATTTATTTTATTTTTATTATTTAATTATGGCATTATTTATTAATGTATTTGACCCCAAATGGTTGAATTACTTACCCCCACCAAGAGGGAAGAAAATGGTTTTATTTTCAAATTATTTTTCATAATATTTGTTTTTATATTATTAAAATTAATGTTGTGGATTTAATTAGTTGAATTTAATAATGAGAAAAATATATCTTAAATATAGGATTTAATAAGAGAATATACCTTAGATATGAGATTTAATGAGAGATAATAGGAAAATAGTTTTACTTCCAATTGGTTTTAAATTTTACATTTCATTTCCATCATTAATAAAATGCATTTCTTATTTATCATTAATGTTTTCAACCTATTGTTGACTTGGCCAATTGAACCGTTCAAACCGTCACTCGGTCTTGATCCTGGGTTTAGTTCTGTTGAAACTCCCCCTTTCAATTAAAAACTGTCTAACCCTGGTGGTTCAACCATTGCCTCATTCGACCCAATAACCAGGTTACAAGTTGCACACTTAATTATGTGCAAACTTTTAAAAGCCATAACTTTGCACTTCGATGTCTAATTAGGGTTATCTTTTTTTTAGTAAATTTTCAAGATCTATATGTCGCAAGGACCTTAGGCTCCTTGCTTTGCTATTTTCGCAAAAAAACCCCTTTTTTGGCCCCAAATTGAAATTTTAATATTTTTATAAATAAAAAATTAAGATTCGAATTAAAAAACAAAAATAAATGTAACATAATACATATAGTATATGTCATAAAACATAATTATAAAATATATGTAAAATATAATTATACTATTTATTGATAAAATATGTATTTTTACATACACAAACGTATAGTGTTGACGCGGAGCGGTTTTGACTCATTTGACCTTGATAATTGAATTGGTGACCCGAAGTCAAAAGAGGGTCGGCCTCAGGGTCAGTTTTTAAAACATTGTTTATTATATTGATTATTGTTTAATATGTCAAATATATTATGTTAAAAATGTTCCCATTTTTTATTTTTTTGCATTTTATATATTTTTGAATTTTATTACTTAATTGTGACAACATGAATTGGTTCTTGGACCCAAATGGTTTAATTTTTTGCCACCACCTAGATGAAAACACTGTTTTTGCAGGTAAATTTAAAAGTATAAGTTTTTATATTATTAAAATTATTAATTTATTATGTATGAATTTAATTATAGAATTTAATGATGAGAAAAAAACAAAAAACCCTTAAATATATGATTCAATGAAGGTGAATACAAATTTATACCTTAAATATTGGATTTAATGAGAGAGAATTGAATGCATTGGATATCTTAAAATTACCTATGTTTAAACCATTTAATATCAATAACCAACTACACTATTTGCCCTCATTTTTTATCAATAAATTTAAATATAGAGGGATAAGTTTTGTCTTCAGAAAATTCAAAAATATTCTTGAGGCTATTCGTACTTTTTAAAGTAGTATAGATTTATGCTTTATTTGTGGCTATTTTGGCTTTTAAAATGTCATTGATGTATTTACAAAAATTGTATTATTTTCTTAGGATATCCATGTATTTTCATATCTTTCATCCATATCCATGCGTTTCCAAAGCGTATCAATATTCCTATCCAAACTATCTGATACGATACCCGATACCGATACTTTGATCCTTGCACTAAACAAAATAAAATGACATAGCACGATTCATGTAGCTGACCACATATAATTGGGACAAGGCTTAGGTGACAAAAATTGATACTATCATAAATTGAAATTACAATTTTACCCTCAAAGCAAATATTAGTATTTACATTTGATACTGCTATTTGTAACATTTCCCCATCTATTTTTTCTTTAGACTCCAAACACCCAACCCTTTTGCTGTTTTTTCTTGGGCCATGTTCTGCGTTTTGTGTTTTCTCCATTTGTTGGGTCATTAATACGATTTACTCATTCACTAAAATGTTTTTTTTTTCTCTATTTTTATTATCATTACTGTAGTCAACCTCTAATTACGGATATAGAAATCAATCCAAACGAGGTTTGATCAAATGAGAGGTTACAATAGCCTGATCTACTCCACATTCTGGTGTGCGAGATAGAGTAAATGCGTCCAGTATCCAATTCGGTGACAGTAACAGAGGACCCCTAAAGTGCAGCCAATTGAATGCGCTGGGCTGAAGCCTCTAGTATGCAAAGAGCAATGTAAATGGTGCACCTTTCTTTTGGGCTTAGATTACTCCAATCTCCAGTACTGTATTCTATAGAAGTTGCAGAACTGATGGTAGAAATAAGAGTGTACCACAACTGATTAGTTACAGAACTAATTGGAAATTACTGTAATAAGGCTATAACAGCATTTTGATGAGCTATATTTAGATTTTGTTATTAACTAAAAACTTGTACTGGGGATCTATGGAGGTGAAAATACGGATGAGATTCCAAATGAGCATGTTTAGTTCAATAAAATGGAAGATATTCATAAATCACCAAGCCTCCAGCAATATTGACAGAAGCCAAGATCTCTTAAGCTTACTATTGCATGAAAATTAATTGCCTGCCTGCCTGCAGTTGCACCTCTCTTATGTCATTCATTCTTCTTGTCTGATAGAAGCTTTGATGCCACGTCTCCACTGTAAGGTGTGACGGGGTATGCATACTGCTGGAAAACTGAAAATATAATCATCTCAAGACAGACTAAGACATTTTGCAAGGCTTCCTCAATTTGCTCTACATCTAACCAGAAGTGATTAGATTTAATGATTCCCATTGCAGCAAGTATCTCAAGTGCAACTCCCTGCAAACATGCAAGGACAAGCATTTGTAAATACAAATGGAACATAAGGCCACTTGATTTGCAAAAGAATAATAAAGGAGGGATACTAAGTGGAAATATAAAGCCATTACACCCAGTACACACCATATGACCATACATTCAGCTGTACTGCACACATGCACAGACATTCAATCCATACACATGTGGGACCCCCCTCTCCCACCCTACCATCTGGGTGTCTTTAGGAGATCTTCTATGTGGTATATGCAATAGTAGGTTCCAGTATGTATTTATTTAGTTTGATATCCAAAATAACCACAACCACTGCGATTGTTTCTTCAAGTGCTTCAGTGTTTCTTGATTGGCTAGTTAAGCTTAAGATTAACAGTAAGGGCATGGATGAAAAGAATACCTGCCAAAAGCAAAAGAAAACTATCCCTTTTATGCACAGGAATTTGGCAAGAGGCCTGTGTGGTTCCAGCTCCTTCCCAAAGACATGGTAAAAGACCACAAGAGAATACAAAGCTAGTGAAACTGAAATATTGAGAATGATGGTGAATGTCCAGCTGACCCAATTGGTGTACAGGCCCAGAAGTTGAAGTGCTATCATTAAGACAGAGCACACAGGCCGGATGATGACAAATTGCCAAGTCCAGTATTTGAGAAGCTTCAATGTCTGGTGGTTCAGTCGAACAGTGCGCGGCTGCAAGTAGAAGAACATTGTGTGAAACATATATACATAGCCCCCATCCCAACAGGTTGACTTCATTAACAGGTCTACAGCTGGGGTTTATGGGGTCTTAACAAGATGTATAGATTCCAAAACCCATACTTTAATAGCAAGAGTATCAAAAAGCTCTGTTGTTCAATGGCTGACTGCTCCCAGTTTTCATAGTAGGTACAGATTTGCATGACTTGGCCTAGCTGAGATGATTGATATGCTGGCCAATACAAAGCATGACTCATAAGAAACTGAAAATTGATGTAACTAGAGCAAATTTTGTCAATGTCCAACTAATACAAGGTTCCTAAGGCACTACTTTCGGAAAGTCCAAAAAACCAGACAATCCACACGGTTTATTCTGAACATCATGCAACATTATCTAAAGATAGCCTAGCTCGGATACTGGTGCAACAATAGGGTTCAGAAGTAGCAAGACATGTGACTACAATAAGATTTTCAAAATTATCAAAATTTAAAAAAAAATCATTATCAGAGAGACCACAAGAACCATTTATCTCCTCTGGCCAACATCACGAGCTTTTTATGTCTGGTCAATAACTTATTCTGGAAGAACCATCTGGTGACCTTTTTATGTCTGGCTTTTGACAATTAAAATGGGTTAGAAATGGAGCACTTGCACTCCATGACAAAGCCCGAAATGTTTCCCAAGTTGAACCTTACCCATGTCCATGAATCATATGTTTATTCAATGACTCCCATTACCTCCAGGATGAATGGTATTAACTTCATCTGCTTTCATAATCAAGAAACAGCAGAAAATTATTAAAAAAGAAACAATTTCTCACCTGGAAAAGAGTAATTGGGAATGAATGGTGAATTTCTCTTCCTTTGATTTCATCTGGAACTATGTTTTTACTAATGGATATATTCAAGTAACTGTACAACAAAGCCAGAAATTTAGCAATCACCTGCAAGTAAGAACATAAGAAGCTTAGTAGTGGTAACATGATGAGCAAACGAAGCCATAACTGGAATTATCTTACTACCGAGTCGAGAAGAATTACCAGAGCCTCATAACATTCCTTTATTGAATCCAAAAACATGAAAAATGGCTTGCTTCCCCGAATATCCAATAAACCAACAAAGGAGTCAATAGCATATATAGGGGCCATGAGAATGATGATTATTATGGCCTTTTGCTCCTTTGGGTTCTTCCAGTAGAAAAGGTGCTGTGATAGGAGTTGAACTGTGAAATGCATTGTAAGCATCACAGAGAATGCAGATCCCAAAATAGTGAGCTGTCCACGGTTCATTGTAGATATATCCATTATTTATATCAAAATTCAGAAACAAATAGTGTCCAGGCTCCTTCAGTCTTTAGGAACTAAAAGTTTGAGATGTCACAAATGTCTCCTGAGCCAAAACATGAAACATTTTAGTTGCATATGGGTGTGCAGAATAAGGATAGAAGTATAATGTAAAGAAACGAATTTATTAAGTCAAATAACACTGCATACAGGTACTATACCTATTGAATATAATGGACTTGAAGAACATGGTAAGTTGGTAGTCCAATATGAAATGCGTACGGTGGGATAATGACTTTAAAGGAAAAAAAATTAAAATGAGAGTTAATGGAAGAGGCAGTCAAGATAAACAACTTAGATGCCTACGTCATATTTCAGGTAAAATTTCATTTTCTTTGAAGGAAAAGGCCTCACTGGAAGGTGAAAATTCTACACGATTGAGCTCAAGTTCCTTTAAGCTTGCCATGAAAGCTTTGTGGAAGAAATGGATCCATGGTAATCAAAGATATTTGAAGAGATTAAGGAAATCACAAATTCGTGAAGGCAACAAGACGAGCAAGCAAGAAAAGGTAAAATAAGAACTAAGCTCAATCCTTTATGAAGTCAGTCCAATCATCACTCTAAACCATGCTATTTTCATCAATTAACAAATGATGTCGGGATCCCATTTACACAAAACAGAAGCATCTGTAAGCTAGACGAACTATAACTTTGAACTATTTCCCGAATTTTGACAAGAATTTTATTAAACAATATGATACGAGAAGTCCCTCCGCAAGATGGAAGTATAGATTGATGCAACATGAATCGTAAAACTTAAATAGAGAAAGATCTGATCAAGTCCTGAGTCCGGACACAGAAGCCAAGATCAACAAAAGATGGAACGGAACCTGCTAAGAAATTGACATCGAACACCGTACTCAAGTTCGATGATTTAGGGTTCATTTCAAGCTGCAGAGAGTGCAGGAAGCATAAAAGCAGTTGATAGAGCTAACTAAATAGTGCTATTTAGTCCGCGACGAGAAAGACTTTTGTTTCAGATGGACAAATTTTGGCGTAAGAGAAGAGAACTTACAGTCTTGCAGAGGAACCTTGAGCCGATCGGAGGAGAAGAGTCAGGAAATTCGGTCAATTCGTGATATCGTCTGGGATTGGAGTTTGGAGAGGAAGAAGAGAAACGGGGGGGGGGCAGAGGAGACACTAGGAATAAGATGGGTAGAGGGTAGTTGCTCACTTGATTTTTCATTAAATGATTAAAATTCAGTCCAGATAAATGCTTGCAGCTCAGTAAATGTAGTGAATGAACTTTGCTATTTACTATTTACCCAATACAAATCAAATAATCTGTCTACCTACCCCAAACCTCACTAGCCAAAAACTATACAGTTAAATTATGGTGCATAAATTGCACAATAAATAATAAAAAAATTATGTTGAAGATATCATGAAATTTATCTATTTTTTATTATTTTATGTTTAATATTTATTAAATTTATCACCTCTAATGTCCTACTCACTTTTTTCTACCCGTTGCGACCATACATTTCACTATGTATGAGTATGACTATAATTATAGAGTGTGGGTAAAGAATATTGGACAGGAAATGATCGGGTTTAGGTTTAGCTATATAGCATACCAAATAGCCCTTATACGGTCAATCTTAATTATTTTGTCCTTTTACTTTTATTTTTATATCATAATACATACATGTGTCATAGTCCAGCCCGGTGTACATGATTTTGTCTCCTGCCTATTCCAGAGAGAGAGAGAGAAAGGCCCATTGGCCATACTGTGATAATTCCGGTATGTCCCCTCCCTCCCAACCAGATTCGGACTCACTCCTTCAATCCTTCCTATCTGGCAAAACTTAAAATTTAAAGATATTTCAAGTATTTCTTCATTTCCTAGAACATACAGCTTGGGAGAAGCTCTTTGGAAGACTATATTGGGAGAAGCTCTTCATTTCCTAGCTTATACAAGCATTATAAGCTAGGTTGTGAGCTACATAGTTTTCTTCCCTACGGAGGATATGCTTAATACATATATATTATCAAAAAGGTTCAGAAGTTCCTTGCTTGCTTCCTTTAGATCTGCTACTTGCAACCATCACTTATTTTGTAGACTATTTACAACCAAAAGAGAGTCAGAAAATACAACTGTTGGCTTGTCCTTCCACTTCAGAGCTGTTGAGAGTCCGTGAATCATTGCCCACCAAGGTGACTTGATTCTTGTGTTTTCTGCCCACAAGATAGAATTGTTAGTAGTTATAGATGTTATATATCTCTTGCTCCAGCATTTCTCAGTATTGGATCAAAAGACCTATCCACAAAAACATTTAGGGTAAATTTTTTAAACTACCCTTATGCTTTAGCTAGTTGACTAAGTGTTGCCCTTTCTGTTTGAAAATTGACTAATGCTACCCCTACTGTTTTTAACAATTGATTAACTCAACCCTTACCATTAGCATCTGTTATTACTCGGTGAGACCACGTGGTGTTTAAAATTCTTTTAAAATCCAATGCTACCCCTCCCTCATTTTGAATTCATTTTTTAGATAACAGAAAAAACACTATTCATCATCTCTTCCCTGGGTGCCCACAAATATGGAATTCTTTAACAAAGCAGTGATCAGTTGTGCTTGAAAGATGTTGAATAAGAGGAAGAATATCATTCTCCCTAGTGGAATGAATTGTCGAAGTAGGCTACCGGATGAGTTTACTTATGGTTCATATCAAAGATTACTTCATCTGTTTAGGACAAAGTTCCAACTCAATTGGATTCGTCTCACGTCAAAAGGAAATTGAAGATCACGATGCCATTACCGAAACACAATGTAATTCAAGACAGAACCTCCTCTGCCCTATAAGGAGCTTTCCGCACGTATGAGCAAGAGATATCTAGAAAGATTGCAGCATAACCAAAAAAAACCTAAGCTTTTTCTCACACAAATGGAAACAAAGCAAGAAGAAAGGAATGATTTAAACAAAGACGAGGTTGGAAGGGGGAGAAAATCATTGCTATTGTTCGATGCCGAGAGTAGGAAGAAGATGAACAGAAAAAAAGGGGTTGCTGGCGGAGAAAGACGGAGGAACTCTAGACATAGCCGATGGAGAGAGAAAGAGGCCGGATGAAACAGGGGCAAGAGGGATCTGGGAAGTGAAGACAAACCGAGGAAGATGAAGAAAATGATGATTAACCCTCTGAAGAAAAATCGGTTTTTCTTTCCCAATCTGCTAATGAAAACCTAGAAGTTCCACTCTACCAATCTGCAATGAAAACTCTCAACACACAACTCCCAACAACCAGCACTGCTTTAGTGGTAATTCACAACTTTGGATTTTATAGTCAGATTTCTCTGATAAGATTTTCCTTGTGTGCATTTCCATTAACTCTGAAGTTGTAAGACGATCTAGGGAACCTCTAGGAAGTATCCCCTTAGTGCATCGAGCATGATCAGATCCCACTCCTTGTCGTAGTGCTCTTCGGGAAAGCCACTAAGCACCAATTTACAGTAGTGGTTTTGTCAGAGGAAGGCTTTAGCCGGTAAGCAACTGGACGGCAAGGTTGTAGATCTCGTCAGGAAGGATGATATCGAGCTAGCGGCATGGTGTGAAGGGGTTTTTTACTGTGATGAAGGCAATGTTGCGCCCCTGTGGGTGTGAAGGGATTTTTGGCATGGTATCTCCGTTGTTGATTGCAACAACAGAGGCTGATAGCGGGAATCTAATGTAGGTTCAAATGGGTTGTTGGCTTTGGAAATGCACACGAGGGAAAAGAAGATCAGGGGGAACCGGGAAAGAAAACACATCAGTCACTACTGAAAGAAATATGAATTGGAACAAAGAAGTGGGATTTTACCTTGTCAAGGAGAAGTTGAGGCAATAGGCGTTTGCTCTGCCCAGACGAGAAAAGGAGCACCTCTAAGTGCAACAAGCACTCTACTAAAGAGTAAGACTGAGACAGAGGGAACTTGAGAAGAAGCATTCAGAAACGGATCTACCAAAATCACCGTTGTCGCTGCAACTTCCAATAGCGGCGGTGATTTCTTCCTCTACCCGCTTTCTCCTCTTCGTTCTCCCTCTCCACCACCCCTCTTAGCATACCGGGAGTTTCCTGGAAAACCCCAACTGACATAACTCTCATACACAAATTACAAAAAATAGAAGGGTAAAATAGTATTTTTATCTTATTGTTAACGGAATATTAGGAGATACTAATGGTAAAGAAAGTATTAGTCAATTGTCTGAAACAATAGGGTAGCGTTAATCAATTTTCAAACAGTAATTGAGACTTAAATTTAACGAATTGAGACTTAACGGTCGGATTCCAAAGTTCCTTTTAATTTTATTACCCACCCCTCTCTCTCTCTCTCTCGTTCATTCCTTCTCCCTCATACTCTTACCCTTCTTTCTCTCTTCCGTTGCCCTTCCTCCTTCCCACTCTTACATTTGATCACATCGGTGAAACTGTAGTAAACATGTGGGGTTGCTACCACCAACAAGAATTCATCCATCCCGAAGTAGGATTGTAGTAGAATGGTAGACACGGCTACGACCCCTCTTCCTCGAGTTCAAATCAGTCCCCTACAAGATTATCCCCCGCAACGTTTTACAGTACATCCTCGTCATGTATTGGGAACACCTCCCAATGATGACATCATCATTTTTGGTATTATCATGGGAAGACGTTCCTAATACATGGCAGGGATATGTTATGGGACGTTGTAAGAAAAATCTTGTGGGAGGTTGATTTGATCCTCTCTTCCTCCCCCCTCTTGTTCGATCATGCCAGTGAAATTGTAATATATATGCGGATTGCTACCACCAACGGCAATTCCTCCATCCTGAATTGCAGTAGATACACGGTGTGGCAGACAGGTTTTGTACTTCAAACCTTGACCTTGATGGGTTATCTGGTCTATAAATGATCGATTTGAGCACTGGTTCTTGGTTATTGGTCCAATTCCCACCTGACAGTCCCAGATGAAGCACCATTGATTATAATGACAAAGCCATTAGGAAATAGAATCAAATCTCCCATGACTCTTGCTAGTGGCATTGTCTCCATGGACTAATTCGGCGACGCATTGGTAATTTTGATTCTCCCACATGTGTTCAAGGCTCTAACAAAGCTTCCTTTCGTCACTTGAATGCAGGACCCTTTTGGCATGCCACAACATACCACACCATCAACTTTGATGGGTGATTGTTGTAAGTTCTTCAATGGGAGAAGAACAGAGGAACCCATGCTTGGGTATCTCCTTAGGTCACTGCCAAGCATTTGCTGGAACGTTTTGATGACTGCACTTTTCGTATAGTCTAGTAAAATTGTCTGGCTCCAATTTCTGTCCCATCCATAGAAAAATTTTTGTCCCTAAAGGGACAAACGATGCAAACTCTTTATTTGAGCTTCTTGGACTATGTTCACGTCATTTTGTTGTCGATTTATTTCCTATTGAGAGAAGTCCAAATATGATGAGGCTTTTTCCACTAAGATTACTGGGCTCTAGAGTTTTTGGTTATGCAGTACTTAGGATACTTTGCTTCCATGATAGAACAAATTGGCTTAGGGCTTGTTCGTTTCCTCTTAACTCTTATTTCTTATTTTTTTTCAATGATACCCCCAAAAAGACAAACAAAAACTCTCATATATGGGGTCAAAATGGATATTTGATCATTTTCAGAATTCAAAATTCAAAACAACATTCTCTACATTCAAAATTTAGAGGAAAGAAAAGTTTACCAATACCAATATACCTCTTAATGTAATTATTGCACTTTCAAATGTTAGACTTCAAAGCAAACGAACAGGCCCTCAGGGTCAGGGACTGAAAGTTTTCTGGATTAATACCTATTTGGGCATTTAAGCAAACAACCTTCATAATGAATCGAAAAAATAAATGTCTCTAGTTTTCCATGGTAGAGTTACATAGAGGACATAATTCCTCACTCTCTTGTAAGAAATGGAGTTTATCTTTTGTTTTTCTGCCTTTCCACCATGTTTTCCACATCAAGTGCCCATATCAGCTACTGAGTCATATGTAAGAGATCACATTAACACCCCATAGAGGGTGCCCCTAAGCGCCCCACATGCACATCTCACCATGCATTGGAAATCATGGGGGATGATCTCCTATCTAATCTCCATACCTAATTATCTAGAATTCCATAATTAGTTCCATTGAGCACTTTATATTTTTGATATATTAGATATATAACTAATAAAAAATGTATCATAAAAGTTAAAACAATACGAAGGTATTGCCAAAAAATCAATTGATAATCTCACGTAGATGATAAAAAGATGAAAGAAACCAATAATTGACCAGCATAAGTGAGTGGCCTGCCACCTTGAAAAATCCAAATCAGTGTTTTAAAAACCGACCCAGAGGGTGAACCATTTTTGCCTCTGGGTCATGGGTCACCGGTTCGACTAGTCGGGTCGAATAATTCAGATCGTGTCACATCAATATATATATATATAAATACAGATTTAGATTTTATCAATAAAAAATGTATAATTATGTCTTAGATATTGTATATTGATGATAAGCAATCCGGTCGGTCCTAGCTGTCGGTTACCTTGCCTTTGACGAAGTTGGAGGTGCCTGAAACAAGGAAGAAAATGGAGACTTCCGGGGAGGAACCCAGTTGGAACACTCCGAAGCTCAAGTTAGTGCTCTTGAGAAGGCAAGGGAAATGAGGGACTTCAAAACCAGAAAGCACAAGAATCACATACCTCATTCTTTGGGGGAAGGGGGCCTTTTATAATCACCCTGGTACACTCACTCCCATACCTCTGCCAGATCAGGCATCATCACCTCCGCCAGATCGGGTGTCATCATTTCTACCAGACGCTAGTTCGGGTGTCATAACATCTGCCAGATGTCAGTTCGGGTGTCATAACCTCTGCCAGTTGCCAGTTCGGGTGTCATAACCGCCACTGTCCTTGTCAGGGCCGTCTCTGCCACGTCTGAGATGGCGGTGGCAGGTGGCCGTTGGAGGGCGGTTGTCATGTGTCGGACCCCTAATCAGTCAGGTGCGCCGCCTCCGTGTACGGGCATCCTGGGCGTCAGGTACGGTTGTTCAGTCAGGCGACTTGGAGTTGAAGTGGTGTGCGAGGTGGTCTTGAGCTCGGATAGAAGTGTGGCCCGAACTGCCCCGGGGTGGGTCAACTCGGGTTTTTGCCCTTTGCGCTCCTTGTAAGGCTCAGGACCTCCAAGGGAGAGCTCGGGTTCTTCCTTCGGGAGCTCGGGTCGTGGGTTCCTTTTTTGGGAGAGCTCGGGACTCCCTTTCTCGGAGCTCGGGTTGTGGGCCCGTTGTCGTGCCGAGCTGGCGCTTCTGCCAGGTCACTCTCGGTTCCTTCCACGTGTCGTGTGGCCAAGGGGTCGGGCCAAATCATCCTCCATCAATTGCCCCCCACTCCCCGTGCCCGGGGTCCTAACCCGGCGTGGGGAGTTCACGGGATGACGGGTGGATTTGCCTCTTGATGCTTTGGCCTTGGTTTGGAGCTTCTCCGGTCTGACCTACTTGTGTTTTTGGCCCGATCAGGGTCGACTTGGTTCGACCAGGGGCCAATTCCGGGGTGCATGCATCTCACGCGCGGGCGCCAAACGATTTTAAAATTTCAAACGTCAAAAATGCGCGCTAAACTGACTTCTTCCTCGGGGGGCACGCAGCCGGTTTTGCGGGGAGCCATTGGATGGTTTTGATCTTGGTCGTTGATGCGCGAGTACAATGGCTATAAATAGTGGGGGGCCCCTAGTCACTTTCCTTCGCCATTCTTCAACATTCGTTCTTTGAGCTCGCGTCCAAGGCTGTCAGCTCACGTCATTTTTCATAGTCCGGTAGCTTTTCCGTGGTGAGTCCTCAACCTTCTTTTCGGTTCAATGTCTAGCTCGGGTAGTTTAGATAGCCTTCTAGGGGGGTCAGATGCTGGGTCCACGAACCGAGTTGCTGACGTTGACAGCCTAAGTGAGTCCGAGGCGGTGCCCGAGGTAGAGCTCGAGTTCGAGCCCGTGGGCCGAGTTACCTTGGGTAGCTTGGCATCCACCTCCCATCGAGGTCGGATGCCAGATAAGTTCGGGCCTTCCACTATGACGCCCGAGAGACTTCGGTCCTTGATTGCTCAGTATAACCTGCCCGGGGAGTATACTTATATTTTACCCTCGGGCGACTTCCCTTGGGAGCACGGTCCAGACGAGATCGTGATATTCCGGAAGCAGCTTGTTGTCGGGCTGCGCCTTCCCTTCCATCCCCTTATCGTCGAGGTCATGAATCACTTCGGCGTTACTGTCGGTCAGCTCCACCCGAACTCCATTCGCAACCTTGTCGGGACCATCTCCCTTTGTTGCGAATACTGCCTTCCCTTGGACCTGGAAATCTTTTCCGCCATTCTTATGCTCAAGAAGCAAGCGGGTCCCCTGCCCGGGCGTAGGTGATCCTACTACTTGTCTCCTCATCCGAGGTTCAAGCTTTTGCACGATCTTCCGAACAAGGTCCCGGCATGGAAGCGGGACTACTTCGTGGTTCGAAGTGCTATGGGATGGTCGTTTCCTACCGAGTGGGGATTGGCCGTTCCTGATCCTGGTACCACGTTGGATGAAGAAACGGTGAAGGGCCTCTAGGACTGAGCTCGGCTTGGACTCAAATGTGAAGTCTACCTGACGGAGGCCAAGCTTATCCAGGCCGGTCTGAGTTCGGGTAGGTTTCTTGCTTCAGAGGCTTGCTTTTGCTTTGTTTTTTATTCTCATCTTTTGACGCCGAGCTCTTCTTGCAGGTGTTATGGAGGCAGAGAAGACTCGAGGTGCAAACTTATTTGATGGTATGAGGAGGAGGAAGCGAGCTGCTAAGCGGGTCCGTGCCGATCCTTCCCGGGTTGCGGAGCCCGAGGCACCGAGAATGGAGCCTCCTGAGGAGCCCGAGGTGGCCCCTCCAATTCAGGAAGCGACAGGGGTCCCCTATGCTGATATTGCTTATACCTGGGTTGTGCCTTCAGGCTCGGGGAGTCAGGATGGGGCTGGGAGCGTGCTGACGCCGAGCTACGCTCTCCGAAAAAGTAAGAAGGCTACTTGCCCGGAGGAGGTCGCGACGTGGGCCGATCTTCCTCCGCAATACATAGG